TCCCGGCACGACGGACCGAGGTCCCCGGGGACCCGGTGGGACACGGCGTGTCCGTGCCGGAGCGCAGGGGCTTTCCTCTCACCTGCCAAGGACTTGTAACCAAGAAACCTGGCAATCTTTTGCTGGCAGTGCTCCTGCTCTTCACACGTCAGCAGCTGGTAGATAAACTGCCAAATGACTTGCTTGGCCGGTGTGTCCAGCACCGGGTACGCATCCACAATGAGAGTGTCAATATTCCTGCAAAATCCGAAAGAGAGGGCTGGGCAGTGAGCGCATCCCTACGGCACAGCCCCACCACGCCGCTTCCCTGGGCTCCAGCGCTTCCCAGCCTGCCTCCGCCTGCGTCTCAGCTGCTGGGCTTGCCTTTGAGTCTTTGGCACAAGCAGATTATTTCAGAGCAGAGGTGCCAGGCTGCGAGCAAGGGACCGAGCCCTTTGGGAAGTGGAGTTGTGCAGCTGGTGCTAACGGGGAAAGCAAACTCCTGGGGATGGGCAGCACCTGACAGCCAGGTATAAAACCTGGTTCGTGAGTCAGCCAGGGTGCCTGGGGTGGAGGAGCACCAGGAGGCAGAGAGAGGCCTGGGAAAGACCTGAATTTTGGCCAGCAGCAGGTAAGCAGGCTCAGGTAGAGATGCATTGGAGGGGGCAGCTGGGCTGGCAGCCTGGCTGGGCTGAAGGCTCGGTCTCAGATTGGCTCTGCGGCGGGTAGAGATGGCGAAAGGGCTGTTGAGAGTAGCAGGGCTGAGCCCCTGATTCACTGAGGAGGATAAAGCAGCCTGGGGAAGGAGGGCTGTCCTGGGTCAGAGAGCTAGTCAGGCTGCTTTTCTACTGAGGAACTGAGGCAGATGGGATGGGTTAAAGCTCATTGCAACTGTTGCATCCTTAATGTAGAAGTGATAATAAGAACCTCTTATAATGAGCTGGAAGGATGTTCCATGCAATCTGCTGTCTTGGTGTTAATTGAATGGACCATCGCAGCCTTCTGAGGGGCAGGGACCCGGCACGCAGCGGGGAGCTGAAGGGTGGAGAGGCTCAGATGCTGCCTGGATTTTGTAAATGAAGCATCTTGGGGGAACCCCAGAGGCCAGGAGGGATGAGAAGTGGTAGGAGCGATCTAGACCCTGCCAGAAGCTGTGTGCTAAGTTTCTCCCTCGGTTTGGGTTAACTTGCCTCTTCTGTGGAGCTGGGCACAGCTCTTGGCTGTCAGAAGCCTATTTCCCGTTCAGAAAAGTTAAAGAATTGTGGAGGAGCTGCTGAGGCAGGTGGCTGCTCTGCCCTGTGCAGGCAGGCCAGGGCCAGCTGGCTCATCACATGCACACTGGCTGGGGGGTTGAAGCCCGGAACAGGGGTGTCCTGACTCCATCACCTGTGTTTGCTGCTGGGAAATGTGGCTAGCTGCATGGCAAGCAACATAAACTTAATGTTTGGGGATTTCCTTCCTTGGTGGAGCAGTTAGAGGTCACAGCTGGCTTCTCTGGGACAGGCATGCAATTAGGTCATGATGAATTATTGTTAAATGGAGCAGTGGCCTCTGTGTTGAGCTATCCGGGGCAGCCACAGGCAAAATGAGAAGGTTGGAGGAGAGGATGGGAGTGCCTGTGCCCCCGCTGAGCCTCGCTCCCCACGGTGGGTGACAGCCCCCAGTTAATCGCTGCTGGAAGACCAAGCAATGTGGGCAGCCCTGCACTGGGAGGGGAACCTGGGGACTTGATTCATGGTACTTGGGTTCCCACCTTTGTGCTGCTGAGTAAGAGGAAAAAAAAACCCTGCTGGGATTGGGTCTGCATTTCCCAGTTGCAGACCCCGAGGGCTGGATCTGCTCCCACAGCTGCTGTTCCTCAGGCTGAAATGCCCAACTGGGGAATCCTGTAGCAGCAGTGCAGTCTCAGGAGCACACAAAGCAATGATTTCTGTTTTACTGGGGCAGCGTTGGTGATCACGGGGCCTCAAGAAGGTTCACTCAGCTGGTGCCGGGGGGTTCATGCAGCTGTACCTCCCCCAGCAGCCGCAGGTACAGAGGCAGCCCAGCCTCCCCGTGCACGGGGGATGCTGCAGGGTGGTGCACAGGGGCAGTGCTATGGCATTGTACGTGGTAGTTTCTAGTCTCTTACCATCAGTAACCTAAATACTGAGGGCTTTACTGCATTTCCTCAAACTGAGGATTCCGATCCTTTGATCTTCACACCAGCAGATTGCCGCACTGCGGGAGCCTGCCTGGCCCTGGCCCGTGCATCTGCAGCCGGTGTGAGACCCAGGCTCCCAAGGAGCAGCCGGGCAGCCCGGCTCGGTTGGCTCAGCAGCTGCAGGAAGAGGCAGCAAGCATCTCCCAGTGCCCAGAGGGACGGCTTATTCGCCATGGTGCGGAAAGGTTAAAGATCAAGGGCAGAAAATAAGGTCACTACTGAAAGCCTTGAGTCTGCCAGGGGATCGGTTTTGACCCTTGCAGCAGGGAGGGGAGGATGTGCTCCAATGCAGGACGGGGGCTCTGCCAGCCACGGCCCTTCCTGCGCTGCCGCCAAGATGCTGAGAAGAGTGAGAAGGCAAGGAGGAAATGCAGCAAGATTTACTGAAAGAGGTGAAATGGGATCTGTGGCTGTTGGGGATGGCTGGACAGCAAGAGAGCCTGTGCAGTGGGGGACTGAGGTTGGTTTATGAGGGATTAAGGGGTGACTGAATTAACGTTAAAAGCTAATGGGCCTGCCCTGTCCTCGGGCAGGACCCAGGATGGGCTTGTGCCCTGTGAACATGCACAGGGAGATACGCACTGGGGAAACCGGAGAACATGATCACAGCAGAGCTCAGCGCCGACAGCCTCACAGCTGAGGTCTGCCTTCTGCTTGGAGACCAACTCTGACGTGGGCATCGCTACCAGGCCAGGTATCGCCATTAGAGGAAGGGAGCTGCTAACAAGTTACCGATGTTGGAAGAAGCCTTCCAGCGCTTTGCAGATGGTATAGCGCTCGGGTGGAGTCAGCAGGTGCTCCAGCTGCTGGCTGAAGGTCCTTCCTTGAATCTTGATGCTAGAGGGGAGTAGCTCTGCAACCCACTGCAGGGAGGTGAGGGCGGAGGAGGTGCTCGGGGAGTCAGCAGAGTCAGAGTCTGCAAGGCGCAGGTAGAAAGAAAAAAGAAAATTCAACAGACAAAAGGTCTTAACCATGGGTTAAAAGGCTTGTCCTGAATCCAGGGGTCAGTCCTGGGGACAGCTGTGCCCGCACACAACGGGTGCTCCACAGAAATACAAATCCTGATGTGCTGATACAGACATTGTTACCCCAGCAAAAATGGATTTTGGTCGCTGGAAGGCAGCATGGTGACATGGAGAAATGGCTCATCTGGAGCTGTGACTGCCCCTGCCTTCCTCCCATGCTCTGGCCCAGCTGCGCTGGAGCTCGTGGCTGTTCCAGTAGGTCCATGGACCTGCTGGAGATGAGCAGGGGTGTTTTGATTGGGATGCTCTCTGGGATCTATCTCTTCAGCCATGCTGCTTCTGTGCTTCCCGTAAATGCATGCAGATGATATTCCTTCTCTAGCTCTCTAAAGCATCTGCTCAAGTTTCAGAGCACTTTGTGATAATCATGGACTTCAAAAGCAGCATCAGTCGAGGGTTACCTGCGAGTGAACTGAGGCATGGAAGGTCATTTGCTTTGCCATGCTCATCTGCTATGGTCCCCATGCCACAGCCTGGCCGCCTCTGCAGTGAGCGCAGGGCAATAAGCGTCGCTGGGAGAGGGACCCGACCGCGTCTGTGGGATGCACTTATCCACCAAGGAATGTGGCCAAGGCAGCAGGAGCAAAAAATTCCATCTTTTCTAGGTTTCTTTTGGGGGGCAGTGAAGGAGTTTGAGTGCTGCTGGCTCTGTACCACGAAGAAGCGAGGTTCTTGATTTTGTTTCTAGGGCACATGCGAATGAGTTGGTAACACCAAGCTCCTAACGTGAAGCTTAGGAGAGTCCACTGCCACTCTGGAGGGAAGAGCCAGTCCCTAATTCCTGGCCCTACGCCTTGCAGAGCAACACCCCAATGACGCACCAACCCTCCTGCCTTTGCACAGCTTTGGAAACGCGGCAGCGACCGCGCTCTGCCCTGGGCTGCGGTCCTGCCCCTCCGCTGAAATCGTGCTGACAACCGCCCGCGTTGCCCCAGATACCCTCATCTCCCGCTGACTCACTCACCAGCAGCAAGCTAAATTATTCATAATGGCAGCAGTTATTCTGAACAGCACAGTCCATACACAACTGTGGGATTTGCACGGTGACCATGGATGCACAGGGCTGGATTACTTCGGGTCAAGTACACAGCACAGACTGCATGTAAAGGACATCGGCAAGGGCTGTCAAGGACGATCATACAGTAGGATGAACCCTTCTGGGGAGCAGCCAAGCCTGAGATCAAGCCTGATGCCAGAAAGCGGGCAGCCGCGTGCCCCGGCAAGAGGAGCAGCCCTCCAGGCAGCGCTAGGCTCCAGGCAACACGTTAAACATGCTGAGCCTACGGGCGGTGTTAGGCAATTCCCTCCTGCGCCGGGAATTCGGGAGCCGGCGTGGGATTTCTGCTGCTCCGGCCCCTTCCCTCCCCATGCTCTTACCATTGGAGAAGTTGACGATCCCCTCTTCCACCACCAAGGTAGGCATCGCCCCGCTGCCCTGCAGCATCGACACCACCTTGTCATGGGAGCAGTTCCTGCGGGGCACAGGAGAGCCCGGGTCAGAGCTGCCAGGCAGCGGCCGGCGGGAGAGCAGCAGAGGAATGAAGTTTGCAGCTGGCTCGTGTCTCTTGCAAAAAAGCCTCATCTTGCTGCTTGCAGCCAGGCAGTGCTGGGCCCCGCTGTGATGCCCCTGGACTCTGGGTCTGTGCTTGGTTTTACCTGTGCTGCTTGGAAAAGAGCCTCCCCGAGGGGGAGCGTGAATGGCCCCCTGCGACTGGGCTCTCCGCTGTACCTGCAGCAAGGAATAACCGCAGGGCGTGCCTGCGAGCACCCTGCGGAGCTGTTACGGCAAATGAAGCCAGCGTTGCTTTAAGCTACGCTCAGACCCAGAAGATGAACTTTCCATTTAAGTGATACAGTGCTGCGGGTCTCTCCTTGCCTGGCCTAATTCTGCATGAAAAGAAAATGCAAGGTGGATGTAAAATGCATTTTTGTAGGGGGAAAAAAAAAAATCTTGGTGTGTCCTTGGACAAGGGTATGGGCTGGCCTGGGACAATGCCTGCCAAAACGTGGGCTCAGAGGACAATCTTCAACTCGGTCTCCTTTATTTTCTGGCGGTGCTGCATCAGCCAACAGTTTGCTGGATCAGCTGAAATGTGAGAACCTGAGCACTGACAGAAGCAGCATCAGATGTTTAACCTTTAAATATTCATCACTTTCTTATCCTGGAGTCTTTTCTAACTCTTTGCTTTTGCTTTTTGTGTGGAAAGACCAGCCTGAGGAAATACAGGCTGCTGCCACTGCGCTGGCAAGCTGCACACTCAGCTCTGGTTTGATTGCTTTTGTTATGCACAAATAATATAGAGAAGAATTAACTTCTGGGTGGAAATGCAATTGCCCATGTGGTTTTAAACTTATGATCCTGTTCTGGGAGTGATTTGTGGGCTGGCTGGTGCTCTGCTCTTTTCAAAAGCAAAACCCCAGGTGTTTAACTTGTACAGCTTAAGTCACAGTGGCTCAGATCAGGGTCTGCAGGTGGGTTGCAGCCAGGAGACCAGTTACATGTAGTGCGTCATGCACTGTGCACGGCTGTTTGCACAGAGAAGTCAAAGGAGGAGCAGGGGTGGAGCTGAAATACTACTCTTGGAGCCAGTTTTTGTAAAAGAATTGTAAAGGAGATGCTCGTATGGGGCAAAACCCCTTATGCACCTCAGTGGACAGCTCTCAGGGATGACCAGCTCTCGTTTCTGTTGCACAGCAGTGAACAAGTGAACACGCGTGTGCTTGGCCACCTGCCACCTGCTGGGACCCCTGGGCGCAGCTCTTCTAAAGAGCCTCTTACCTCATGTCCAGGCCGTTGAGGAACAGGATCCGGTCTCCAGCTTTGAGAGCAGCCTTCTCAGCCGGGCTCCCTAAATGCACAGGGAACAAGAGGGGCTTCAGCTGGAGGACCCCTGCTTACGGGGATGGGGTCCCAGCTCTCCCACCACTCTGTGCCCAGCCGTGCCCAGGGCTGGGCATCCACTGCA